AAAAAAATACTCCAAATTATTATTTTATTTTTAAAAAAATCAAAATAAAATTTTTAAAAACCACGTTTTTGTAGTAGACAATAATAATTAAAAAACAAAAATATGAAAAACGAAAGACGGGGGTGGGGGCATGAAATACATAAGAGTAACAGTATGCGTGCTCATGAGTATATGTGTATGTATATCTGTAATTGTATCTGAATGTGGATGTGATTGTGTATGTGTATGAGTAAGAAAATGTGTATATGTACTGTTATGTATTTTATGCGTCCCACGTTTTTCAAATTTTTATTTTTTAATTATTATTCTCCACTACAGAAACGTGGTTTTTAAAAATATTTTTTATTTCGATTTTTTTTGTACTCACTTCCAAAATCTCAATTTTTTTACTCACTGTACACAAGACTTTTCAACTGACATGTGACACTAATTTGAAATAATCGAATCGACAACAAAAGACAATCGCGAAAATACTAATTTTTCTTTATTTTACTTTGTACGTCTTTTTTCTCTTCATTTTCATGCATTGTCATCCAATTCTGAACTATGTGCCAAATTTGAAGTCTGTAGCTAGTCGGGAAGTTAGTTTAAAATCCAAATCGATAAAAAAATTCCACCTGAACAGACATATACGAAGGCAAGTTGATATAAACGTGGTAATAAAAGGAGGCTCCGATAACTGATGCAAACCTCGGAACTGTAGTTCATTTTTTTTAGATCACTCCACTATTAAGAGTTCGCTTATTTCATTATATAATATCCCAGCTTTCACACTTATAACAGCATATATGGGGATTCTGCATATACATTTAAAATGAGGTATCCCTCCCAATCTTCACCATATATAATTTATATGTTAAAAAAATAAATTAGAAAATTTAATGACTGCATAACTAATCCGAATTTTAAACATAAGGAGGCGTTTTGCAGATTTATAGACGTATTTCTACCGCATCAAATCTGCATAACATGTCTTTTCATAAAATAATGCTCATTCTAGACCAGTTTCTAAGTAGTTAAACACGGAAATAACGAGGGGAAAGATGAAAATTGTTTTAAAAGTTGTAGTTTGGGGCCTCAACCTATGAGGTTCGAGTAGCCATCTTGAATTTACTGAAGAGGTTCAAAAGAGGATTGAACTTTACTATAAAGAAAAAGGAGATATCGTTTATTCCTAGGTAGAAAAGGATGTATTGTTTCCTACGCATGTTTTTATGCTGAATCGAATGACAATAAAATCAAGTCGAGGGTACTAATAATTCAAAAATTATAAGGGGTTTAGTAAAATGGAAGTATTAAAAAAAAATATTATACCGATTTTTGCGTCTCAAATATCAATGTAGCTAAATGAGGTATCACACCCAATGCATTTTCCTTCGCTGAATCGAACGAGATCGAAACAAAGTCGGGAAGACTAATAGTTCAAAAAATATTAAAGTTTTCATCTGTAAAAAAAGGTACAGTTTTGTGTTAAACCTACTTCTTTGCATGTGAATGGGTATGGATATAGTCTAATAACTGAAAAACTGAAGCACCGATCTGATCGTAATTTCTTTTTTTTTTTTCTGCAGTTTGCACGTTTCCATGGGAAATGATTTATAAACGCTATTTTTCGGAGTCGTTTAGTTTGGCGCAATATTGAGAATACTGAAATTGTTTAAATTCATGGTTACTAATTAAACCTTTCTTAAAATCTTTTGAATGACTTCTTAGTTTGGCATAGGCGTTTTCCCCTTGTATTCGAGCACTTTCAATTTAGCGTAAAAAAATACAGAGGGTCCATTTGTCTATATAGCATATGCCCTCTTCAACCTGTTCTATCATGAAGTGCTCGACTTAGCATGGTGGTTCTCTGGCTACAAAAGCAAGGGAGCCGTCTCACCGGAGATGATCAAAGTTGTGATGGCATGTCTTGGTATTTCACAGATCTAGTGCAAAAGCAAGGGAGCCGTCTCACCGGAGATGATCAAAATTGTGATGGCATGTCTTGGTATTTCGCAGATCTAGTGCGAGCGTAATTGAAATTTAAAAAGGAATTTTTCTTAATCTTCTAGAGAATTTAGTAAAAGTTGTCAGAAAAAAGTATTCGTCTGCTTGTGCAAATTTCATTATCCACGGAATCGTTTAAATGATTTAATAATAGATCCTACCTCTTGTTGCGTCCGTTGCTTACGCGTCTAGCATTTTTTTGCTGTGCAATTGGGTACCTTCAAGTGACGTCATCGTATGTAAATCGCATCATTTGTCCAGTCAGAAGACAATCAGGTTCAACACACACGCTTTACATCGTTTACAGGTATCCAAGTAACTCCGATTTAAATCACGTGATCAGGCATAATCACTTCTTCTCGAGTTGCAAGTACCCCGATTGAAAAATCAGCGTTAAGCGACAAAAAATACACAATTGAGCTTTTTATAAACTTAGTATAGCTACAGTTACAACATAAACAATACACTCAAATTATTTTGATACAAATGTTTTAATTTGGGAACTTGAATGTTTATAATAAAGTTCTTCCCTCAAATTTTATGGAACGAAATGCAATGACTTAAGTTTGGTGAACACCATTTTACTCGAATCTTACACCTATCTATGTTTTAAAGAATACATAAAAGGTATGTGCGATAGAAGAAAATATAGTTTTATGTTAAACGTAGTTATAAAGTTAAAATATAGTTTTATGTTACTTCGTTTTCTATAGATACGAGTTTGACTGTACTAAAATAATGATTTTAATTTAAAACAAACAAGCTTTCAATAAATAAAAATCTTTTTCTTTTGAAAAGAAATAAAGTAGGTTTCTAGCTTATTTATTTGTGCCATGATTGCACAGTGGTTAAGTTCTTCAGTCGTAACTTTAAGTCCAATCGATGGGTTCTAGCTTGTCTTGGAAATCACCTTTAAGAGCCACCTATTAGCGCGCTATGCTGACCATATTGACACCATCATGCTGTTCGTAACGAAATTGTGGAGCCTTAATCCTTTGACTCAGAATCCCTAAACATATTTCTCATACTTTTTTTATTATTTTGTATTAATTTAGGTCAAAATAAGTGAAAAATATTAGCATTTTAATAATTTATGGTTATGAAATGTAGCATAAAACACTGGTGTCTTTCTTTGTGTTAAAGGAAAAATATTCCTAACACAGATCACTTCAAAACATTAATTTTTCAATTTACAAAATCAATTATTGATACATTTTTGAATACAAATGGGAAAAAAAAAAAATTCTAAAATAATTCCGATAATCAAACAGATTTTTTAGAGACTATTTTGACTGTTTTTTATATTTAAAAAATGCCGAAATATATTTTTGCTTGCAAAAAAGCGCCAGAAAAAATTATATACAAACGACACTGATGTTGCAGTTGCATCAAAGTTTTAACTTCTATAACCCCCCTAGCTCTACCATAGGCTATTGATGGAATACTTTTTTTTATTTTTTGGTTTTACACGAGTTTATTTATTTAATTTGTTTATTTAGAATTGTAAAATAATTTAAACCCTATACAGTGTCCGCCACTAATAAAATCACTGGATTCTAATATCTGCTGCTTTTTAAAATCATATCTGGAAGAACCGAACAAATACCATATCAAAACATGCTAAAACCATGCTTTAATAAAATCATTATCGCTGTTCTGTAAAATCAAATTTTTTGTAATGCATATGCTTCAAAAATGGCAAATTTTGCTTTTTCTAGTCTGAATATTTAGAATTTTCTAATTTCTGAAGCATTGAAAGGTGTGTAACATATAAATAATTAATTTCACTCTGCCTCCAACGAAAAAATTTACAGACGTGGATAAAATTGAAGAATGATGGCAAAGGAGTATATCGATGAAAACTGTTCATTTATTAAAGCAAGTTCTTGAATGCTGATCATTTAATGTCAATGATCATTATTTAATGTCAATTGTCATTCCATCGATTGAGATAATTCTATCCTCAATCGATGGTTGAAAAGCACTTGATATTTCAAAATTAATTTTACAGAAAAGAAATATTGAAAGCTACAAAGAATTTTTATCAACTTTCAAATCAAATTAAATTTAATCAAATTAAGACATTTCAACAAATTAACTTCAAATTTTGCTAATCAACAAAATGTGCCAGTATTTTAAAACCTACATTTAAAAAAAATTTTTAGCTCATGTCAAATGTAAATTCAGTAAAAATAAAATATAAATGTAGTAATCAATTTAACTTTGAAATATTTTCCACAATGTCCTGAAATTGAATGTGCTTTTAAAATGTGAAGTGCAGTGTATTGAGTAACAGGAAGTACCAAAAGTTATTAACTAAAGAATAAATCATAATTGTCATGTGCAACATAGTCACCGAGGCAAAGAAATTTAATGCTAAATTGCCATCCAAGGAACTAGGGAAACTTAGATATTATATCAATTTTCAAAAAATGTATCACAATGTTTTAAAATGCAATAGCTCCTCAATAAAAAATAAGTTCGATAGTTACTAATAACCTAAAAAGATAATTCATTTTAATTACATTCTTGTGAGATGGCAAATCAAATGTCGCCTTTGTTACTAGACTGCAGTCTTTTGAGTTTGTTAACAAACATGTTAAATGGTTTTTTTTTCTCAAATTCTTAAAATTTTAAAAAGTTAATACCAAAAATTAGGCTTATGAGCTCAAAGCACATTTATAAAAAATAGATCTATATTCAACTATTAAATATCCATAAAATATGAAAGTAATGTAAACAAAAATTTAGATTATTTGATTGGTTAAGACTTTTGTCAGAAGAATTATTCGACAGCAGGCAAACAACAAAAAGAGTGTGAGTTTAATCTACTCCATTCTTGACCGGAAATTTTTTAATACATGTATCAATGAAACATTACATCCATTTTATTATAATTTGAAGTATTCAGCTGATGGCCTATTTCAAACACAGATACAATAATTCTTTAGTTAAAAATTTGTCTACATTAATTGCATAAATTGAGACAAACAATAATAACAGATTAAACCTTCCACTAAACTTTCTTTTTATTTTATCTAATACATTCATTTCATAAGTCTATGCAAAATAAGAGCAAAACATTTAGTAAAATAATCTCTGTAAATATCAAACCATCACAGGAATTAAATACCAATAATTTAAAATAAAAATCTGGAGTATTATAAAATAATTTTACATTTAACGACTAGCATTCCATAACACAGCAGCAAATAACAATTCAGATAGATAGTTATAATTGCAGAACAGATTTATTTAAAGTACAGCTATTCCAATTTAATAATATTAATATCATGTTATTTTCACAACTTAATTAATAAAGTAACATTGTTGATCGATTAAAGTCACATTGATGAAAGACTTGAATTTTAATGTGAGCAGTTTCCAAACAATAGCACACAAAGAAGTTACCATTATATACAGTTGTGTGCAAAAGTTAGACCAGCAGCACATTTTTAGTATATTTTACACATTACATCCGTTGTGCAGATCGTTACACCATCTTACATGTTAACTGTATAAAATGCACTTGGCTGCTATAAATAAATTCCAGTCTCCAGTTATTTCATGGATTTAAGCAGAGGTTAAATAATATAGTAGATTATAATAGATTTAAAAAAAAGACTGTCACTGCTGCGCAAACATTTGCAAGAAATTGGTCAATTTCAACATAAAATAAGTAGGAGAGTTTAAGAGCTAGGCAACAAAATTATATAATGCTCATGTTATCAGAAAAACAGATACACAATTTTTAATAAAGTTCTACAAAAGTATAAAGCATACCAGGACAGAAAAGCAAAAGAACTATTTCAGACATTTCAGCAAAGAATTTGCAAGTTTGTTGCAGAAAAAAGGCCTGAAATTCACAGAATATTTGGTGAAATTATAAAAATTATGTGCGGAAACGCTTAATTAATCAATTGATACCCAATATATGCATTATAAAAGCATAGCCATGGTTGAAATAAAGGCGTATAAAAACTTGTTTCCTTTGTTATGTTATATTATTTTTTATTTAAATGAACAAACTTTTAGTACAAAATATTAGTTAATAGTTCATCAAGTATTCGTTTGGCAGCATTTTTATATGTTTGTGAACATAAAAGATTAAAAAATTGCATTATGTTATTTCAGTAAATTTTCTGGTTAAATAGGGGTTCAACCAAATTTATTGCACTTCGAGAGACGATATTCACCAATGCTTTCCGATTAGATTCTTATCGCACTGCAAGCGGCAGGGTAAGCTTATAAATTTATGATCTAAACAATTAAAAAAAAATTCTTACTAAACAGCATTTGGATCATCTTTAATTTATTTTGTTTTTGTTTTGGTACAAATGCATTCTCCTAAATGCTTTATTAGTTATATTTTATCAATTTTGAAGGTTCAGAAATGAGCTATTTGCTGCTAAAATGCAAGCAAAAAATTAAAAATCGAACATCGAAAAAATCGAAAAAATTTTGTCCAAATTATAACAGTTAAAAAATATTATTTCGATGATTCGTAACACGAACGAACTTGCGATTTTACCTCTAACTCTGCAAGGAAACTTAAATGCAATGATTAAAAAACTTTGCACACAACTGTATTTAACTGTTGTGATATATTTACAATCTTGTGCAATTTATTATGTATTTTCGATGAATTTTTGGTTACAGCATATTTTAATTGTGAGATTAAAGCTTGCCTTGCTACCACTGAAAGAAATGTTCCCAAAAAACATATTAAGTTGGCAGTCCTGTGTGTATATGTGTGTGTGTTAAAAAAATTGTTTACAAATTATTTTTAATATGATGTATAAAATGTCTTTTCTCAGCTGTGCAATACTCATTAACAATATAATTATTTTCCATTAAACATCAAGTAATTCTATTTAGCTCTGGTCTGTGAGATCCATTTGTGACAATGAAGGCTATAAATTAATAATTTGCACACGACTGTACAATATTCTTGCAAGACACATAATAAATTAGTAACAATAGAAAGCACAAAATTTTGATTCTTAAGTAGAGCAATAACAATGTCATAAAATCTTCTTCATATATTTGACTAAATATGAGTCATTTCAAACTATATAAAAATATAAATTACAATCACTAACAGAAAAGATATAAATATAAAATATTCAGAAACAATAAAATCTATATGATATATATAAAAAATGTAAAAGGAACTTGTAACAGAAATATCATAAAACAGAATGAGCAAGATTTGGTTGGTCGCATTGATTTTGAAGCAATCTTTACTGTAATGTGTAAGTACATACAGCATGTTTTGCAAGTGATAGCAAAATTAAAATTTCTAGTAATATTAAACAAAAAAAATTATACAAATTTCCATATTATAAATACAGTTTGTCTCTTTAGGACAACTACCCATTACAATGACCAACATATGAAGTACCATTCAAAATTCCATAAGTGCATATTTATTATAACGCCTATGAGAACCTCTGCACCGAAATGTTTATTTCTATACAGCAACTAAAATACATTTTCACTTTATAAAAATTGCGTTTCAAAATTTTACTACACTTTTAAAGATATTTAAATAGCTGCTTCTTTTGATGCTCCAACTCGCTTTTGAATGAAAGAGTGGCACATCTCAAGTTCTAATTATAGGTGATCATATTGTATGATTAAAAAGTTGCTTTAAATATAGATGATCAAATGATGATGTATAATTGCACTGTAGATTTGTATGCATTCGTAACTTATGAGAATTTCCTAGTTTGAAATTTTTATTCACACTTTCCATAAATATAAGTCATTTTGGATGGTCTATTTTTGAATCAAAACATATTATATTCATATCTAATTTGCTGCATTTTGTTTATTTTTTTCAGTTATCTGGGAATATGTTAGTTGTCGAAACTTATTGTTTAGAAGTCAAAACCAACATAATTTTTTATTTGTGTAAATAGCTTATAGATATAGGACATTAAAACTGGTGTATTTATTATCAATTATTCTGCCAGTTACTAAATTATTTTTATTATATATCATATATTTTTAGCCAACATTAGTCTAGTGTTTATAAGTAATGAATAAATGTTGATGATATTCCACGCACTCACAAGACAGTCTGTTAACACTGTTTATGAGGTTTAACTAGATCATGTAGGGTCAATATTTAAGACAGGTTTTGACTTGGGTCAGCAAGAGAAAGGGAATCGGAAAAAAAGAATCTCCCCTCTTTGGAATGTGCTATTTCTTGTTTCTATAGCAGCAGACGGACTTAGACCTTGCGGTAAAGGGACTTCTTTCTATAGACTAGGGGTGCCCAACATGCAGCCCTCAAGTCACATGCGGCCGCCGACGCTCGATGTGCGGCCCACGGCAGTAATCTAAACAAAATGGAGAAGAAAAAAAGAATTTTTTTTTTAATTAAACAAATTCGAAATTAGATAGTTTTTAAAGCACCCAATCTTTTTTTTTCCTCAATTCCCACCTGGAGAATGACCTAGGTCAGGGGTCGGCAACCTTTTGAAATGAAAGAGCCAAAAGTTACAATTTTACAAAATTTCCCGCTTTTAAAGAGCCACTGAAAATTTTTGNATGTCTTGCCCGGGATTCGAACCCAGAGCCTTTCTGATGCAAGGGCGGTTCCTTAACCCCTACACAGGCCGGTCGGCTACGAACCCAATCTAAATGTAGCTCTTCGATCACTTTTAAATCAATATAATTTTAATAACTTTTAACCCTATAAACTTTCTTTAAATCAAAGTTTTTAACTTGCATTTATTTTAATTATTAGAGTATTTATTTTTTTTAAATTTAATTCCATGAACAATTTTTTTAATGTTAAAATTTATGTTTAAATGGACTTTTGTATTATGTAATATGATAAAAAAGAACCATGAATTTTCCTAAAGTTTATTTCAATTTATCAAAATTTTTTTCTAATAATTTTTTTCTGATTCTGTTTTTTTCCTAAATAATCAGTTTTGCAGTTTATAATTTTAAACATTTAAAAGTATTTAATTATGCAAAGATATTACACGGTTAACTGAAAAAAATTTAGTGCCTAGAACAATGATGTTTACATAAAAATTGCTGGCAATATGTCAGTCACAATAGCCAATATTTAATCAATTTGCAAAGGTATATCTTTATTTGCATACCAAATGACTTCAAATTTTAATTATCAGTCAGTATAGCAGTTCACTTTTTCTAATCAATGGTGTTCAGAAAGAAGTATGTAGTGCATGAAGCATTATTACTGTTACAAACCATGAAACAATTTTAAAATATTTGATTTAAAATATTTCAAAAATCAAACATACTAAGCTTGTTTCACATCCAAACTTAAATTATATATTAGAATTTCTTCACATTCTACCATTACAAATAATAAAATTTTCTTCAAAATCAGTACTTTATTCAAGATTTGTCAGATGTGTCTTTCATATTAAATTATACTTACTCATATATATTTGTGGTTTGCAATTAGATCTTATATTATTTTATAACCAGGTTGTAAACACTTGACATAAATTTACGATCATTCTTTTAAAAGAATCTTGTATAAACAATATTCTTAATCTTTCATGTTACAATCAGAAACTCCACATATACATGATATATGTTTGAGATATTTTTATTTTTATGTTCCTTTTTTTAATAAAATAATTTTAGAGAGATTTTGACAATTAATGAAAATATTACTTTTTTTTTAATGAAGCAGAGTTGCATTTCTAAAATTTTAAGATAACAAATTCTATTCATGGTTTAAAATTTAAATGTTAATAATAAATTATAAATTCACTTAAAGGTTCCTTTATATTTTTAATTTTCAAGGAAATTGATCTTATTTTCTAGGTATCATTTTTTGCAATTTAAATAGAAAACAGTGTTAACATATTTATTACAGACTAAAAATGTGTATTTTGAAGTAATGCAAAAATTAACAGATATATTTCAATTTACTTATGTACTTATTTTTTTTAATAAAAGTTAAAGCTATGCTATATCTAAAGACTCAATAGTAATGGATAAAAAGCCTCCATAACAACAATGATTAATGTAAACAATCATAATCAGCGATTCATTAACAAAAATTTTAAGTGCACAGTAAATCTTAGTCTAGAAAAATTTTAACAATATAAGCTCTTTTTTTAAAAAAGTTAGCAAAGTAAACTTTTAAACTGTGGAAGACTTGCTGATAAATTTTATAAATTACTCAATTAATTACCCTTAACAGTTAAATCTAATTTAAAAATACACAAGTGAAAAAAAATTTTTACAGTATAACGATTATTCAATACTTAAAATTCTATTCCTCTCTTTGATCAATTAGATCTTATATATGGCTTTGCTACAGGTGACATATTTACATTTGATTTTAGATAGCCACTTTGCATATTTCTGCAATTTCCATTAAGTAACAGCGCAATTATCTATGTGAAAAGAGTAGTATTGTTTCCAAACAATTTTAAAATCTGGCTTATTACGGCCCCAAGCTATTCATGAACATAGACATAATTGAATATTATTAAGGTTAAACATTAATAACATTCAGTATATGGGTTAATAATATAAGGATACACTAGTTAAGCCATTTAGTTTTATAGGTGCAAAAATAATGGCTTGTCAAGATTCAATTGTTAGAATTTATTTAGATTATCAGTGTTACCCTCTAAATATGAGTTACCCCTTAGTTACCCTCTAAATAAAATATACTTATTTGGTCCCCTCATATCATCTTATATAATCTAACTTCCACTTAATCTAACTCTGACATACAAAAAGTTTTGAATATAAAAATGATGAATTTGCAAATATTTTTCAGAATACTTTCCACGCAGGGCAGAGCAAATTATATTCTTAAAAAAAATTAATTTTCATATAATATAATTTTCAAATAATATCATATAATTTTTAAATACAAATTAGAGTTAAAAAAAGAAAATCAAAGTTAACAAATAATTGTTTTAGAAAATTTAAATGTATCTACGTTAAAAAATTAAATAGATCAAGCATCATTGTTTGAATAATTTTAGGAAATAATTCTTAAATAAAACGAAATTGTATCAAGCAAATTCATTAACAAAGGGGCCGTTCAAAAAGTATGTATATCCCGAAGGGGGGGATTTGCTATTTTGTACGGTTTTGTACGATGGGGAGGGGGGAGGTATTATACAAAGTACGTACATTATAAGCATACACCAAATTTAAATTTGACTTTTTCCTACAGACTCCTTAAATAAATATTTAATTTTATTTAAAACATAATTATTTTAATTTTTATGAAAAAGGGGGGTAGACTAATAAAATGTACGTACTCTAAGGGGGGAGGTAAGACTTTATGTACGGTAATGTACGAAAGGGGGAAGGGGGTTAAAATTTCTCCATTTTTGTGTACATACTTTTTGAACGGCCCTAAATAAATAATTGACAAATAATTCAAATAACAAATAAATCAAAATTCAACAGAATATAATCAATATTTCATTTAAACAAAATTTATAAATAGTTTTAAGTGATTTCGCCTAGATGCTATAACATGTGAAATATTGTAAAGGAGATGTGAAAAACAAGTTAAAACATATTTTCTGAGACAATTAATCTGCAAGGAAAAAATAATCATGTGTTTTCAGATTTATGTGGGCAAAATTATGACCATATTTAAATATGTATAAAAAAAAAGTCAAATTACAATACAGATAAATTACAGCATCACTTCTAATTAATGCAGGTGTTTAATCAGTCTAAATTAAAAGCCTTGATAGTTCAAATAAAACTTTTAGTGATTTTTAATTTTTTGTTTCATTAATCAATAGATAAAATATTACAAATGTGAATATTAATCGATGGATAAAGATGTTGAGAACGGTAATTTATATTTTAAATAGAGAACTGCTGTTAGCAAAAAGGGACCCTGACCTTTGTTTTTAGTACCTGTAGTTGCCAAAATCTAGAAGAATCTTTGAGTTTTAATATAAAGAATATAGAAATTATTACTTTTCCTTCTTTTTAATTGTAACATGACTTTAGAATCAGGAATCCCAAACTAAAATGTTCTAATCTTCAATAGATAAATTCTTGCTAATTTGATTCTAATTGATGACATTCCAAATGCGAGGGTGGATTCTCAATATCGTGTTTGCTTTGAATTAATTTTAGCTCCACACGAGCTGAAGTTGGAAGATTGCTTTCCTCTGTAAATAAAAATTATACAATTAGTTTTATTTATATTATTTAAAAACTGTTTAATAATACCATATTAAGAAATAATCTTATAATCTTAAATTACAATCATTGACAAACTTTTAAATGAAACAAAAATTATTTGACTTAGTTGAAAATTTTGAATCCATATTGTGTGATTCCTGAATCTATTGAATTGGATGATAATAATCTTTAGCGTTTTTCAAACTACGATGAGTGATCCAGTGAATTTTTATTTTATAAATGCAAAATATTGTGTAATTTGTAAGAATACAACTTGTGTTTTTACCATAAAACAGCAGCTTAGTGAACCACTAAAATAAAAATTACTGAAATATTTATTTTATGATGGTAGTGTATCTCTATTTAATAAGCTTAACATTTGCTTACTTGGAAAAAGATAGCTTATAAAATGCATGATATATGGCATAACACAGGTCACTTGTTTGACAGGTAACTAGGACTTTACTATATTAAATGTTAATCAGAAACAATGATGACTGTAATGCCAGGAATACCATTTTCAATATTCTGTAATTACCTAGCTAAAGAAAATGTAGGCAACTAACAAAATTGATACAATTCAATTAATTTTTAGAAGTGTAAATAATTTTGCAATAAGGTGGCGAGAATGCATTAATGAGGACTTTGAAATAATAAGAGTGCCCAACTGGAACATTCTGGGGAGCAGAAGAACATAATAATAGAAGATTGTACGACCTTAAAAAAAAAAATTATAGTTTCTTTAGCTTTATAGTTTGAGAGCATAAGAACCCTGTGATAATTGTTTTTCCTTCCAGTAGTACAATGTTAGAAATTGCTAACAAACAAAAGTCCATCTTAAGTTTTTTTTCTTCTTAGCATTCATCCCCGTGGCAGAATTGCGGCGACATTGTTGCAGAACGTTACAGAGTTTTTGCAGAAAGATTTCAGTATGATTCGCGTGACTTTGTCGTTGAGCTTTATTTTGTAATTACTACATGGATTTTACGATTTTTAATTTATGTACAAATTTTAATTTATTATTGTTTAGTTTATTTATGAATTTAAAATTTTGTAATGATTTACAAAATTGGAAAGGGGAAATAATTAGGGCATTTTTCCACCTACAAAATGCGAGAAAGTGCATAGATAAAATTAGAATTAAAAAAATAAGTTTTATACGTTTTTATTCTGTACGTTTTCTTCTGTAAACACGTTTCTGTTACTTTAAATTAGTAATTGTGTCTGATTTTGCAGCTTAAAATATCACCAGCACTAATTAACTAGAATATTTAAGGTCACTTCAAACAATTGGAAATGTGAAGATCCAATCATTAAATCAAAAGTTATTCAGGATGGCTCCCTTTTTTTCTTGTGCACTGCACAGTACAAAAATTTCAAAAAAAGCAAACACCCTGAATAACTTTTGATCAAATTATAGATTTTCACGTAGTAAAATAAAAAGTTATTATTATGGGTGTTTCTTTTCTTTATTTTGCTCACTTCAGAGATTTATTATGGCAGACTGAAGATGAAACCGAGAGAAGAAAAAATAAGAACATGTGTAAAAGAAAAGCACTTCCAAATTTAGATTAAAGAGCTTAAGGCAATTTAAATTCTACTGGATAACTATATAATTTCCTTTTTCTTTTAGCCTGTACAATTTTTTTGGCAAAAATGGTAACTTAGTAGTTTTTTGCTTCATGTTAAAAGTGGAGATATTTATTCCATAAAAGAACAAATTTAATCATTAAGAGCAAATATACAAAAATAAACAATAATTATCAAAAACTTACTTGAAGCATAATTTGACGTTCTAATTAAAATACTATGAAGTGAATTGATGGTTCTTTGGCATGAGAGCTAAAAAGAAATTAATACCATTATAAAATCTCAGTTAAATATAAAATGGAAAAAGGAAATTAAGCATGTCTTGTAAACATTAGAAATTTAAAAATCTTGTTTAACTGGTTTTTAATATAATTTTGAAGATTAAGACTAATGTTTTAGTTGCATGTTCATATTATTAGACCATAAATAAGGAAATAAGAAAATAAAAGCTTATATTGATTTTTTTTCTGTGCAGATGGCTTTAAATAAAAGTAGTTCAATATCTTTAAGTAGTTCAATATCGTTCATATAGCTCAAAATCAGGTTAGTATAGCACTACTCAAATCATCATTCTATACATGGGCTGTTGACTTGATCACTGGAGAATATTCAATAATTAAAATATTGCTAACAATTTATGGCTTTTTGGTACAAAACTTTTGGAAATTTTCTTTTACCTCTTCACACATTTAATTGCACCATTTCCTAACTCACTGGACTTGCCTGGCTTGTCCCTCTCCTCAATATTTTTTTTATAACCGTTGTTGAACAGCGGACCCAATTTTTTGGGGTTTATGACTAATAATGTTCAATGCTGTAGCCTTGCAATTTTGAACCCAATCCAGAACACAAGGAACTCCTGGATCATGTATTGGGAGGAATTTGTTTTCGTGGAGGACTTTTTGACACAAACGTGCATTTGCGTTACATGAAGACGAAAACCTCCTAGGTTTAGTCTGAAAGCAAGGGGACTCTAATCCATGATCCGTCAACCACCGAGAATATTTTACATGGTCGGTTCGAGCCGGGTGCAGAATACAAATCGACCAGTCATTGCTGGTATTTGAATCCGGTTCACATTACTGGAAGGTGAATGCTCTATCCCCTGAGCCACCACGGCTGTCTCTTCATTATTAAGGTATTTCAAATTTCCTGTAAAAACTTTATACTACTTGATTGATTCTGAAACACTACTTAATTTTAACTAATTCATTCCCCCTAGCATAGATCATGGTACTTAGTTTAAAGTACTAAACAGGTTGTGAGCTATTTAAAACTATTTTTTACATTAGTATATTACCCCTCCTCTTTGTTTTCAAAGGCACCTCAATTATTAGACATGCATTCCATATCATTATTTTTTTTAAAGCTAAAAAATTTTACTTTTAAATCTCCATCTGTTCTTGCCATCCAAGCTAAAAGAAGAGCTGTAAACACATCTCCAGTTCCAGTGTACACTCCAGATAGTTTTGGAATTTCCATATAAACAGAAGTTTCTTTATTTTCTAAGAAAAGATGGATACAAATATAGATAAATATACTAAAAAGTGCATAACTTTTAAACTAAGCATTAATAAATTGGAAATATTAAAATGCAAAACAAATTTTAATTGTAACTTATAAGGTCAAGAAATAAGTTTGAGAAAAATAAACAGACGCGTGTCTAGAAACACTTTAAAAAAACCAAACCACTATATGCAAGGTTTCATCACAGGAAAAAGAGAATTTCTCATCTTTTTTCAAAAGCAGGGTGAGATAATTAAAATATGGAAAACACAAACGAGGTTAATTCTATGTCTTAAAAATGAAGCTATACCCTCTAAAAAGGATTATTGTATGTTATCTTAACAGACTTAGTTCATAATTTTTTTTCAGATAGAAAAAGGACTTAAAAAAAGAGAAATTATTGAAAACAATAAAATTGCACATTTCAGTAATTGGTTTTAAAAAGTGCAAAATGCTCACATTTTAAAATTTTGTGTATCATAATAATGTTGAAATCTGTATTGTTAATTGCCAAATAAATAATTACAAAATTATAAGTTAAGATGATGCTACTGCAAATAGAGTGAGTCAAAAATTTATTACTCAAATGTGCAAGTTGTATAATACTGCAATAAAAAAATCTGGACTAAAAAAATGACAGAACTGTTAGAAGTGCAATAAAACGTATTAAAAATGTTGAAATTAGAAAAACTAGATGAAGATGAAAACAAAAATGAACTAGCTAGAAATGTGATAAAAAAAATTTTTTTTTTTTTGCAATATATCAGACTGCATAATGAGAAGAATCAAATTTTTTCATAAAGAGAGAAAATTTCTATTATAAATTATAGAAGTTTTTTCCTAACTTACTTTTTATTGAACTTCCAAACAAAAAGAGATTTTTTGAAGTTTCTAACTGAACACTAGATAAAACTACAGTTTCAACTCCTTTCTCATGGAAAGCTTTTAAAACTTGAAAAACACTCTCCTTAGATTTTATAGTGATGCCAGTCAGAAGCCTTAAAAATAAACAAAGTAATTAAAAAAAACACACAAACTACAATGCTAATATAAATAAATCAAATTTATGGGATCATAATTATACCCAACTATTTAGTGAAAGATTCGTTTTCATGAATTCAAGAAAAATCTACTCATAATTTAGTAAAGCTGTAAAAAAAAAAATATTTAAAAAAAAAAGGGGGGGACCTGACTGTTTAAAAAAAAATTTCAAAAACCAGTAGTTGGTTTACACTTCTTGTGAAAAATCTATTCATAATTTTGTGATTAAGCGAGAAAAGGCTTTGTGATTAGAGAAAAATAAACACAATAAAGCATGTCTTTAAAGGAATTTTCATTTTAAAATTATGAATTAGACCCTTTATTAGTAGAAATTTTTTTAAGAAGTCCTTTTTGCAATAAAAATTTTGTTAAGGGTCCATTTTAATGATAAACTATTTTAAGAATTTCATTTTTCCTTGAAAATCTATTAACAGACTAAAATTTCTCTTAAAATGACCTTTAGGGATTCAATCTAAGAAATGAACCTTTAGGGATTCAATCATGAAAGATACATAAAACAAGTTTAAGACAATATAAAACAACTTTAAACAATAAATTATTGAGTTTTTTTTTAAATGATAAGTCTAATTTTGGAGGGAAAAAATTAAGGATTGTTTTTATGAATTTTAATGACTATTTCTATACAAATATATATAAGCTAATATGAAGTCTTATAGTAATGTCAGAAATTGAATGTCAATAGGAAGTCTGCTAACTGCTGACACTCATACAATGCTATTTTCTTTTCTTAAAGGATGTTATATGGCATAAACAAATGTTAATAATGAAAAGCTATAAGAAACGACATCTAAATTACAACATTTACTCTTGCCTTCTTAACCTAATCATTGAAAACAGTACAATTTTATATATTTTTTTCACATGTTTACAATCATACGCGCAACAATTTTTTTTTTTTTACATTATAAACGAAAATACTTAGATATCTAGTTACATAAAAAATAAGCTGATAGCACTCAAAAAAACGTATATATACTTTAATGAGTTACTATTACATTCTAACATCATTATTCAAGATATTTACTAATGAAAAAAAAATTATAACAAAATTAGGAAACTATAGCAAAATTTTAATAGACTAAAACATTATGTTTTAGGAAAAAATAAATTGTCAGAATATACAAGATCTAACTAAAAACGTTCATTAAGTAGTTTTTATTATTCTAATAAACTGAACAAAGCAACAGAATCAAATAAAGTTTTTTTTTTAAAAAATACAAAAATGTTTTGAAATAAAACAAAGTGTTGCTTTTATATTTTGCCAACAATAAAATAACTAAATTGTATTGCTTAAATTGCTGGAAATTTAGATAAAGATGCAATCATATTCCTTTTACAGAGAATGTTTGTTAATAAGATGAAAATAGGTTATAGATTGTAAATGAATGAAAAAAAGAATAACTTTTTAACTGAAACTAAGTCCTTATTGATTAAAAATAACTTGAAAATTATTTAAAGCTATTTTTTACTCAACAATTTTAAATATGACTGTTCCTAGATTTGAATAATCCACTAAGTACAATATTTGAACACAAAATTCATAAATAAATGTTTACAACTAAACATATTATTTCAAAGATATAAAACAATGAATTTTATCTTTTTCTTTTGCAATTGTAAGATTTCTATTAGAAAAAATATCGAGCTCACACAATTTTCATCACTTTAAAATTAATATAAAAAAACTAAACATATTACCAGGATACACACATTTTAAATCGAATGGTTTAAAATCAAGTCTCAAAAAATATTTTTTACCAAATAAAAATATGAATTTTTTTTACCCTAACAAAATTTTCAAAATTTTAACTTGCCTCATTCACAGTATTACTGATGCCAAATTTTAACAGAGCTTTTTATTTGAGAACAAAAATCTAACACTATTGTACAATTAATTAAACTATAAATCATTTATTTGATGAATTAAAAAATGATAATGAAAAGGATCACATGTAATACAGAAATCTAGTTTTTTATTGCAAAAAATAAATTGCAATATAAAATTTAATAACAATGAATTGCAACAAGAAAAAATTGCAAAGGTGTTTTGAGACATTTGAAAAGTATTTATATTATTAAGAAACAATTTATTTATTTTTATCTATATAAAAAACATATTCATTGAAATGTAGAAATAATGTACGTACTCAGCTTCAAACTGATTTGGAGTCATTAAGTTTGCTAGATTCATAAAATCATTTTTATAAACTGGAAGTACTTCATCAGGCACATACTGAAAACACAAATATACTTTAAATTTTATAATTATATTTATTAAGTTTTTTGATAACTAACATTCATAACTTACAATTAAAAAGCTTAAAGTAATCTCATACAAATTGAAAATAGTGGAAAGTCAGAAAAATATTTGTCACAAATACAATCATTTTTATTATACTTAAATAAATAATAAATACAATCGAACCTCGTTGATGCAAAATTGGCGGGACTATCATAATTATTTCATGGTAACCGAATTTTGTTCCTTCCGAAACATCATTAAAACATTATTAATGCATGTTATGTACTACATTAATATAGGCAAACAATACTATTATGAACCAAACAAATTAAAATAAGTTTATTAAACTATTTTATTTTTACTATTTTATTTATTTGCCCATCTGCTACTTCTATCAAATGAAGAAAATAGAAATAGCATTCCTCAAAATGAATCATTGGGATTTTATTTAGATGCTTATTACCTATGCTGTGACCAGTTTCCTTTCATGTTAAGCGATAATCAGCTTTAAAATTCCATGTTAATCATGTAAAATACAACAATAATTGATTGCTGACTGACAGGACCAAACATGTTTCATGTAAAGCAATATTTCATGTTAAGCAGTTTCGTGTTAGCAAGGTTCAGATATAATACAATTAGTACACTATAAACAAGTACTTCTAGCTATAATAACTCGAATTAGATCTACTATAGATAATGGGAACACTGAAATAAAAGAGGTAGCATCGCTTTTTATTTAATTAACTCTGAAAATAATAAAGTAAAACTAAACTACACTTGGAACTAAACAAAGTATAAGAGAGAAAAAATAACTCAAATTATTTTCCGATTTATCAAAAGCTAAGTAACCAATTTCACTTACTTAGGAAACATTCATTAGTAACTCACATAAAATAATTCTTTCTAATACAAAAAGTGCTAATTTTGGAGGTCCATAGCTGCCAATAGGAAAAATTCCATTAGATTTTAGAGGAAATAACTCAAATTATTTTCAGATTTCTTTATCAAAAGCTAAGTAACCAATTTCACTTACTTAGGAAACAGTCATTAGTAACTCACATAAAATAATTCTTTCTAATACAAAAAGTGCTTATTTTAGGGGTCCATAGCTGGCAATAGGTAAAATTCCAGTAGATTTTACGGAATAATAAAAATTTCATGATAATTGTTGCATAATGTACTAAATATCTTACACATAGGGAATGTTAGGAATTTTTAGTCATTAAAATAGAAAAATTGCAATATTTTCCAGTTATGATTGACCAAACTTAAAATGTTATGCATTACGTATACTCATAATTTCAAATATTAAAAGGCATTTAATTCATCAAAGATAGTTAAAATAAATGTTTAAATTATTTAAAAGGAAAATTCTGAATAAAAATAAACTGAGCATTTTATAACAAAAAAAGTTCTGAACATAGTAAGCAATAATCTGTACAAAAATTATATTTCAACAGATTTTTTTAGGAAACTTACTCAATTTTAGGGAATTTTCTAAAATGTACAAAAAACAGGAGAATTTAAATTAAACCAGTAGACCAGGAGAAACTAGAAAAATCTAGTAGAGCAGGCAGCTATGGAGGCCTTTATTAAGGGTGTGCCCCCTTTTTTTTACTCATTAAACCAGTTATTTATTTCATCACAATAGTCCATACACACATATAAAGAAGATATGATTGTAATGCCTGGTTTGCCCGAAAGAGGGAGCTAGGGAAAACTTCACCCATGATCCTCTCGGATTCTTCTGTAGAACGTTTTGTTTACAAGTAGATGTGTATATGTAGTACGAAAATGTTGTTTGATATTTGTTAGTGTTGTGTTTGTATTTTTTATATTAATTAAAATGTTATAAAAATAACATAGAGAGCTAGCCTGGTTTATTATATGATACATTTTATAAATATATGTATAGCATATAAGAAACATTAAGATAAAAGAAATTTAGATAGTAAGGTTCAACTGAACTTAAAAGCTGAGACCTACATCAAAAGTTTTAGTATTACACCAAGTATTTATAAAGGTTAATATTCAGTGGCAAAAAAAATTATGATAACTTCAATATGTAGAAAGAAAAAATGTAGCTTTTAAAGTTAAAAAAAAATAGAGTAATAAAATAACAACAATGTATAAGTTAAAAGCCAATGTATTTTAATTTTTTCACTCAATTTTAAGCATAAACAAAATATTAGTATACAAATATTAGTAAACAAAATGTCATTCCTAGAAAAAGGAGTAACTTTAAAAATCATTATTATTGGTTAAAAAGCCAGATTTTTTAAAAAGCCAGAGATTTTCAAGAGAAACCATAAAAATTTTCACTAGTTTACAAGCTCTTTTAACAGTTTCAAAGCAAAATATGTTTCAGTAAATTTGAATGAGTAGCAATTTTTTAGAAATTTTTTAATTTTGAAGGTAGCAGTAATGTATTCAAAATATCACAAATTTAAAAACTAGATGGAAATGGCCGACAACACAATAAATAAATGTACTATCTAAATAAATCAAAAATTTTAATATTAGCGAAAAAATGATCGGAAAACAATGTGAATTTACAATGGAATAGTTTATCACTCAAATTCACGTGTGTAATAACATTATATAAAAACATCCGAATTGGCAATACGCCATGGAAGTAACCGAAAAATTATTGACATTTGTGGATAAACGATTGGAAAACTATGTGGATTTACACAAAAATTGGTGTGAATTTGGGCATGTAAAAATTAATAGATTATAATTGAAAATTACGTTGTGCAATAATATCATATAAAATAGATTAGAATTTGAAAAACCTAGCTGAAAGTTATCATTTATTATCAATCTAGTTATCATTTGATAACTAACTGCTGGTAAAAATATCAAAATTGAACTTTTTTTAAAAAATTTGGGTTATAGTTCCCATAGTATACGGTGAAAGTAAGTAGAAACTATGGAAAACTTATAGTAGTTGCCCTCTCTGTTAAAAAAAAAATATTTACATTTTATAAAAATAAAGAGTTTTAATTTAAAAAAAATTACCATTTGTCCATTGTCACCCATTACTGGATCAATTACTATAAAATAAGAAACAAACATATGAAATTTTATTACTTAAAATAATCTTTAACTCTCCAAGCATTAAGCCATCGGGGAACAACTAAAATATCTCTGAAACATACGACTTTCCCATTAAATGACACCAGGAAATTTTGTTACGCAGGAAAGCATACAGATGAAAGTCTAGAAAAAACCTAGACTAAAGTTCAGAGAGTTAAAGATATTTTTAAATATAGATATACATGAAAAAAGCAATATAGATTTTTTTTTTAAAAAGCGCTTCTGTATAAACTAATATTTTAATGATAGCTACACTAATTATTCCTAAATAATAAATTATTGTTAACACATTAATATAATTTAGAAAATGAAACAATCAAAATATATCTTACCAACATACAAATCAGGATTATTTTTCTTCATTTCTTTAATAATATCACTTAATTTTGTTAAAAAAGAAACACTCCCAACATAACCTAAATGAAGTTAAATATTTGCATTAATTTTTAGTTGTGAAGTTTAAATCCTATAACTTAAAAATACATAAAATTCAAACTATAAATTCAAAATTATGAGTATTACATAAGATTATAAAGCAGACATGCCACATAAGTTCTGGAGAAAAAAAAAGCTGAAAATTGTACAGTAATATAACTTCAGAAACACACTGTCACAAATTATAAATTGACCTATATATCTATAATAAAATATAAACTAAAAAATATTTTTCAATAAACATTCAGCAATTTCATTCTAAATTAGAAGACTCTTCTATTGGTTGTTCCAAAACTTCAATACTTATAAATCTCTGAATTATAATAATTTTTTACCAAATCAGTTAATCAAGAATCAAATCAGTTAAAATTTCATATAAAATTGTATTATGATATATTTTTTTAATCAGAATGAAATAATTTTAATTTAAGTTTTTCAATAAATTCAGATGCACCTAAAAGATTTTTTAAAAAATAAATTAGCGAGTCATCCTTTAGTGCATTGTTTAAAAAAAATTCTGCAACTATTGAATTGTTGAATTTAAATCATTATAAATAAGCCAGATGAAGAGATTAATTCAAATTTTTGAAGCAAGTAATCTGAATCTTAGAAGATTAGACTTTATCTTCCAAAAATAATGCATAAAATATGAGCCCAAATTCAACCTTTTAAAGCTACACAATAGGAAAATTTATTTAATCATATTTTTAGTTCCTATTCATAAACAATTTGGAGAAAAAATTACAGTAGGGAACCGATTATCTGGAACGATCGGGACCATCGCTATTCCGGATAATTGATTTTTACAGTTTTCTGAATCGCTACAAAAAGCCGGGTTTTTTCATTGTTAAACCCAACTAAAAAGATAATATTTGGAAATAATCTTACAAAGAAAAAACAATAAAGTAATTACACTAATGATTATTTCCAAAATGATGGTAAGGTAAACATCTTTCAAAAAAGAAAGAAAAATCCTAAAATCTTAGGAGGAAAAAAAAAAAAAATTTTAAAAATGGAGGGAAAATTTATTGATTTCGTTCCGGTTTTTTGGTTTTCCGGTTTCCAGATAACGGGTTCTGTACTGTAATTCCTTTCTCTAGCAAGATGTTTCATTTCAAAAATAAATCCTGTGTCACAATAATTAATGATGACTAGATTTAGAATTTTGCTTGAAATTGTAAAACCACAGAAATGAAGCAATAATCGTAAAGATATTCCCATATTAATACCTGTTCACACCAACTGTAACCACCAAGAAGTCAAAGTGTCACTGTCTGGATCAATATTTGCAATAAATTTTTCTTGTTAATTTTAGGAAAGAAGCGTAAAAATCCTTGAATTATTGAAGCTGGTCATGGTTAATTTGTTGAGGATAAAGGCACTGTAGTAGCAGGTACTTAATATAAGTATCGTATTAACAATAGATTTTATATGCCCCTCTCCCCCAAAAAAAGAAAGTATACTAAATTAAAAATTAAAGATAGTGGCTAGTTCAAAAGCAGTTATAAATTATTATTGTTTCCAGTTTATCCTTCTCTGAGTAATATTATTAGTTTCACATGAACTACTGCCACATTGTTACCAAATCTTAAAAGTTTAACACGGGTACCAATATTGAAATTTTTATACAACCTTGATTAGAAGTTGAATATTTACTATGACAAGACCTAAAATGTAACTTTAAAAAAAAATCTTAAAACAAATCAAAATTTCAAATATGATAAACTATTTACACATTTAAAAAAAAAATTGAAAATAAATATTTACCAGTTAATAAATGAGAACAGTGTAAAAGATTATTTGTTTTCAGCCCATCATAGAGTTCTGTAAGTTCATCAGCTTTTAAAATCTGCCCCTTAATTGATTCATAACCTAAAACATATGCATATATAAGAAGAAAATATTAAAAAAAAGAAATACTAAAGAATGCAATAATAAAAATTTTTTGCATCATCACTTAATTTTTGTAAACAGGGTGGGTAGCCTGATTTTTCAACAAAAAATAAGCACCTTTTAAGTACTTTTTAAGCACTCAAAAATATTTTTAATCACTTTCCAACAACAACAAAAAATCATAATCAGGATCTGTGCAGTATAAAAAATATTTTTTTCTATCGCTTAAAATTCTTAATTCATGAACATAAAATTCAAAAACATTTTCACAAACTTCACATAATCATGAACAAAATAACTAGTTTCTGATAAATATTGCAGAGAAAATTGAGAAAATCATGCATTTTTTGTAATTTATAATGACAATTAACAAGGTGAAGAAAAAATCTATTATTAAAGGGTAGAAAATAAAGCACTTTCTATAAACCCCAAATAAAAAAAGCATCTTTAAGGACTTTTAAAATATGTATATCAAAAATAAGCACCTTTAAGCACTTTTTAAAAACACAATGCACCCTGTTTAAAGTAAAGTAAAGATAAAATATTAATATAATACCATATTTGCAGCATGATGGAAACTGACAATACTTTTACATTAATCATGTTTATCCTTCTAAAATCCTTTTAAAAACAGACATTTGCCAAACATAGAATGCAACTTTACACTAGATTGCAATAATCTCTACAGACATTACATTAAAATTTTTTGACATGCAATAATTGTTAATTCAATAGGCCTGGTTGCTTACAAGGACAAAAATTAAAAGAGAAAAATTTTTTGATATTTACACAAAAATAAAAGATAGTAAAAAGAGCAATTTAATATTAATTTTAAAAAAAAAAATTATGGCACAAAAATTGTTCCTAAGAGACTTAAAATTTATTCCAATAAAAAGAACATGCCAAACTACAAGTTTGAAGGAGCGAGGTTCGAGTATGAAGAACGGCAAGTCAGAAATCACAAGTCCGAAAGACTATACTGTAAGAATGAAAAAGAAAAAATATTACTCAGAAGGGAAATTTTTTATGGTCTGGAAAAAGATGAGTTTTTATTTTATTTTCTGAACTGCTTATTTCTTTACTTTTAAGTTTATTTCAAACATTTCTGTTCTGATGTTTCTGATTGGAATTTAGATGTTTTCTTGCTTGCATATATAAGGCAGATCGAGTCTAGATTGTGTTTAATGTTGTGGAGAGAATAATACTCTTGTTGATTATGTTTTACAGAAAGTTATGCGATGCTTAATTAATGCTATTTTATTTCTTGCTAAATAAAAGTTTTTAGTAAGCTTCACTTATGCTTGCTTAGCATTTCCACCATACACTCAACTATTTCAGTAGAATAGAAATTAATTTTAACAACAAAAAAAAATCTTGTTTAACAATTTTTATCCAATAAAAATGTACAAATTAGATATATTGCCAAAGTTAAATGATTAATGGGAGGATATTTATTCAAGCAGATAACATTTTCCACAGTTTCAAGAAGTTCATATAATTTGAAAATACTTTTTTTTTTTAAATATCTATACCAGGGTTTGTACAATAAAGGCTTTAAGTTTGTACAGTTATATGAAAGTATCAGCTACAGTAGCTTCTCTACTTGTAGTGGGCTACTTCCAACCAGTAATGAAAAGTTAGATAAACATTCTTTGAGCAAACAAAATTTACATAGGTTAACAATATTTCTAAAAGTTAACAATATTTCTAGCTAGGTAATTCTAGCTTGTAACTAGGTAAACAATATTTCTAAAAAAACTGAATAATTTTACTTGTACTAAAAATTTAATGAACACAAAAGATACTCTTTCAGAGGGGTATTCGCGTATAGTGATCTGTTAGGGATTTTTATCATAATTATGGCAAGGCAAAGTACCGCCAATTTTTTGACAACCTGTTTCGATAGGTGCCAAGGGGTTGGAGGAAAAAGAAAAACTTGATCACGACGGGGAGAGAAAAGGCGCTCTCTAAGAGGAGAGAACAGAAAAAGAACGGTGCTACCCTCGTGATATCAAGAACGGGGAGATAATTGAAGTAACAGGTACAGAAGATAGAAAAGAAATCGTATGCGAAATGTTATCATAGTACATGAGTGGAAATCAGGGTTTCAAAGAAACAAGAATAACAAAATAGAAAATCTAAGATAAACATTTATGCCAACTATAATGTAACAAAAATGTAAGGGTTGCTATGAGTTGCCCCCCTTCTGTATTATGTATTTTCAATTCCTTAAGACTTACGATTTTTTTGACGTAGATCACAGTACACAGATATTCCCCTTTAGCTCACATGTTTCATTATAACCAAATTCAAAACTTTTAAATGAAGAAATAACTTTTCTAAAAATTATGTAAAATTTAACTTGTACCCAAAAGAAGGATGATTTAGGATCTCAGTATTAATTACATTTAATAATGAGCTTGTCAGACAAATATGAATACCAAGTCTATGCATGGTTTTGAAAAAATTAAACTAACTGTACCCACCTGTATGATTGGATAACTGCACTGAATTAATCATATCAACCTCAAACCCAAGAACCTGAAAAGTAGAATTCATTATTGAAGTATAATACGAGTAATAAAAAAAAACCAACTCTATTACAGTGGTGATCTTTTTTAAAAAAAATACAATACTAACTTGTAAAGGGAAACAAGCACTTTTATTTCCAACATAACCATAAACAACGTGGCTTTGAATGGACAAAACACGAAAGTTACTTTCTGATGTTTCCATATTCAAATTATTATATATTTAATTAAAAATATGAAACAATTAACGATTTACATAAACTCAGGAAGAAATAATTTATCAACCAGTTGATTGCAGCATCGGCAGTAAAGCGAAACTAAACACCTTGATAAACACAAACAAGTTAGATTCAGTTGCAGTTAAGAAAGTTGCGTGATTTTATTTATCAAAACCGTTGCCTTCTGTCGCATTAGCTGGTAAAAAAAAAAAACGCATGTGCGAATTCGGAAATGGGAGCAAGAACTTGATTGGTGAGTTTTTCGCGGTAAATGCATTTCACCCGTTCTCGTTGGCATCGCCGTACATTTTTGGTTGCATTGTGAATAGCCCTTAAGTCTATCATTACGAGTTTGCATGTGCAAAGTGATAGTTTACCAGTAGTGACACCGGTAAGCTTCATTCCAGCAATTCAAGAGATGAGAAAATCGAAGAAAGTAAAGTCTAAGCGAAATTGATACGGGTAATCGGATTGAAAGTGAAGATAGACTCCTTACATGGTGTATTTTATTACCGGCGTTGAACAGCCGACCCAATTCTGAGTTAGAGACTACCGATGTGACTAACAAGTTAACTCCTGGATCAAGCATTGCAGCAAACTAGCATTCATGGAGAACTTTTTGAGGGAACTAACTCGTATTTGAGTTACATGAAGAGAGAAACCACGAAAATCTGTCACGGTTAGCTCTACAGCTAGAGGATTATAACATATGATCCATCTATCTCAGAAGATATTTTACGTCAGTTCCGCACGGTGGTTGGTGCGGGCGGGAAGCAGAATACGTTTATCAGCAAGCCACTGCTGCTAGAATTCATATTCACCCACCCGCTTACTGATCACTGCCTGTGCTGGTTTACTTCGGTATTCTACTAGGAACCGTGTCTTCACAATCAGTCCAATTTGGAAAAATAGTTGATTTTGATTAGATTGTTGTTGTTTTAGTTCATTTACGTCACACTAGAGCTGGCTGGCGGCGGTCTGGCAAACAACCCTGAGGATGATCCAAAGACATGCAATCACAATTTTGATCCTCTGCAGAGGGGATCCCCGCTTCGGTAGCCCGACAACCTGCAAGCGAAGTCAAGCACTTTACGGTAGAACAGTTTAACTAGGACCAATACCGCACACCCTCGGTCCCTACGCAGACTGATCCAAGTGGTCACCCATCCCGACACTGACAGCAGCCAGTGATGCTTGACTTCGGTGATCTGCAGGGAACCGTGTCTTAACGATCAGTCCACTGCGGGACTTGATCAGATCGAAAAAGGTAGTTGCACTTTAGGTGATGTTAGTGCCCTCTTTTTTTTATTTTGAGTAGTTTGGACAAAAAAAAGTTTTATATTTCCAGATGTATATGTGTATTTATAGAAAATGTGGCTCTTACTATTTCATAAGAAAACTGTTTTAAGTTAATCCAGTAATGTAAAAGATTATATTTTTTTAAAAAAAATCGCAAATTGCCATTTAGATAGATTAAAATAATCAGGGTCAAATAAAAATTTGCAATTAAATTAGACAAGGAAATGCGAATAAGAATTTTGTGCTATAAATCTAAGTAGACACTTTTGCATAGCACTTATACCTTAATTAAAATCTATTTTATAAATGGCAATGTGAGCCCCATTTATGCTTCTAAATTTGCGCGTTTCGGATTGAATTTTTTTGAAAAGACTGTTTGATTACTTATTGTAGATTTCGTCAGCTATATTTGGAAATAATGATGCCCACTTTTTCATATAAAACCGTTACAAATAATTTTTGTGGTGCAAAAAATTTATATAGATATATAAAAAAAAAAAGAAGAAAACTCTTATCAATCATAGTTAAAACTAAAAAATAGTTAAAATGAAGTTCTTCCTATCTGTAAATCTAATTCAATAAATCTTTTTTATATCATTTCTTTCTTTAAACACCAAAAATAACTTCCTTCTATTTATTAAAGGTGATTTCTATACAATTCAACAAAATAATTTTTTATTCATTAAAAAAAAAAGAAAAATGCTTGTTGGAGATTTATTTGCAGTGTAACAAAATAATTTCCTAATTATCACTTTCAAGTAAATGATTGAAGTGTTTTTTTAATTGTTAAATGTTTGAATTAAACCAAATTTAGGTACTATTACTTCATTGCAATTGTAGAAGTTATTTAGTATAGTTTGTAAAATAATATAAAATTTTTAATAATATTTCTTAATATACTTTAATAATTTTCATTTCTGTCAAAAAGATTTTTAACGGAACTAATAGCATATTTTGAATTCGGCATTTATTTCCACTTTTGTCAAAAGGATACTTTTTTTAAGAAAATTTCATAGACTAGTAAAGTTAAATATTCTTATCATTTTTAAAAAGTTGAATTAAATTTCCTTTGAATTGAAATAGATGTATATTTTTATTGCTAATTAACTTTTTGGCATGTTTGCATAAAAGGCAATCTTAAGTACGTCATAAGATTATTACATAACTATTGAAAATTGCACTGGATATGAAAAACGTCGGATCGCACCAAACACATATAGAATTAAAAAGTAGTAGTAAAATAGTTTGCTAATAGTGAAATTTTATTCTTTAAGGTATTGCAAATTATTGACATGACTAAATCATGCCTTAAACTAACTATGTATACAGTCTTATTATAAATATATTTTGCGATAATCAAGATTGTGTTAGATTTAATACTACTTTTCAATCAAACAATTGAGAATTTCAGAGGAAAATGAGTTTGAAAACTGAAATGAAATATAATTACAATAAGAATAATTTCTCAAGATAAATCTAAATATTTAAAACTGGATTAATTGAGAAAATTTGCAATTTTATTTGTATTCGTTCCTTAAAATTGGAATATATGTTGTTTCTTACCTCTTCGAAATCTGATTGAAAACAAGAACATTTTCCACCACTTTTTAATTTTGAAGAACTTAATAACATAGAAGTAACAATCATTTTTGTATTACAATATGTTTTTCGATTATTGCAATATTGCGCTATAGAATCTGTTGTGACTCCAGAGAGGTATTTTAAATAAGTACTGATACAAATATCAGTATTAATTTAATATAAAATATGCTAAGAAATAAAAACTATTTTCTAAAAATAGGGCATTTTCTTTTTTCATTTTTATATAAAAATAAGGGGAAAAGAACATTTTTGTACAGATCTGTTTTTTAAAGAACTTCTTGTAATTCTCTGACTTACTGTACATATATTATAGTTATAATACTCTTCATGTTATGAAAAAGAAACAATAAAAAAGTAAGAATTGTCTTTATTTGAATTTTATAAATGAATTGTTACATACCATTCAATACAATCAACAATAATTTAATATAGTAACATTGAAATGAATGAAATTCAACATTTTTCGCGATACAAATATTAGCTTGATATAAAATAATAAATTATTAGTTAATTTATAAATTTCGACATCGTGCGAATTATAGAATAAAATAGAATATCGAAATGCCCAAAAGTACCTGGATATCTCTAATTTCTTTTTAAAAAATATTAAAATTTTTATTAAATACTACTAGTACTAACAAATTATATTTTTATTAAAAATAAGAGAAAGAATATAATTTTTAAATACAATGACGCATTCAATTCGATCCTGTAATGATGGATTGAAATAAGATTCTATAATGCGACATTGAAAAAATTGATTGCCATAAAATTTGAGCCTATAATCGATTTTTGAAAGAAAAAAAATGCAAAATGGCAACCAGGGTCTGATTAAAGAGTAATCATCACCTCCTGAAAGAGAGAAGGCCTTCGCACGGGTTACCACAAACCAGAAATTGGATACTTTAGTAGTCCGAACGTTGAGACAACATTTCTTCAATCCCACACTGCGCAGTTTGTGTTCGTTTCTTCCGACTACTGAAATGATGAGCGTGAAGGCCTTCTCTCTTCTCTTAGAGTTGGTTTAATCAGGCATTGATTTGAATAGGAATCTTTAAGTTGTGAGGGGGGACTTAAGCCTAGAGCTCTTGTGACTTGTGGTAAATCAGGTTTGGTGGTGGCTTTAGTTAATTTACTCTTTCGAGAAACAATGCCTTGATTATGACACTTTTCATTTTATAAAAGATAAGAACATAAGAATAAATATATTTATGTTTAATATTTAGAGATAAAATATACTAGGCATTGCATAATGAATGCTATTAATAAGCATTTTTTAGAATACTCGTGAAAATAATAAGTCAATTTATTATGATTTGCAATTAACACTTAGGTAAGAAAAAAACATTAGCGTTATTAAAATATGAAAAATCATAAATGAGGAAGATAGAAATAAATGCATAAAAACCAACCTAATACTAATCTTTCAACTCCTCATTGTTTCTTACAGCAATTAAAAAAGTGTTCAGTGTTTTTAGTCCTGTCTTCCTCAGTAGTGATATTCGTTAGTGTTTTAATTTTTTCCTTACTTTAACATTAATCTGCGATCCCTAATGTACATACTTTTTTTTACTTCATTCTGATAACGATTCCAAAAATATATATTCAGAACAGATATTACGGAACACCTTGGCTATATTTAAAACTGCTTAAATAATTCATAACTCATTTCGAAAAACAATTTATTCCATTCATAATTCAATTCATTTTAGGAAAGGCATGATGCGAATATCTTCATTTATGTCAGCGCCGCTCCTACAGCCTACATTTCATGCAGGGTGAGTAGCCAAATCTCTCAACGAAAAATAAGCACCTTTAAAGTACTTTTTAAGCACTCAAAAAATATTTTTAAGCACTATATACATTAACAAAATGAAAAATAATTTTCAAAGACTTTGCATGATCGTGATAAAATAACTCTTTTCTTGATCATATTAGCCACCATAAAAAGATAGAGAAATTTTTCAGTTTGATTGCGGAGGGTTAAAATGAAGCCTGAAATCGAGAATATCTTGCAGAATGCAGCAGAGTTGCTCATAAGAGTGCAAGAATCTCATCGAATCCAGCTCAGAGTTGACGTATTTCATCAAACAGCTCATTGGACGCACATGCGCACTCGCATGTATTTCATCAAATATGTAAAATGATTGGCTCTTTCATACGCTATGGACAGACGGTACGCCGAAATGGATTGTGGTTGAAAACACGCTTTTGCATTATACGTGGTGAAAATCGACATGGTAAAAAAAAAAAAAATCTCATTTTCGAAAAGGGGAAAATTAAGCACTTTAAGAAGCCGACCCAATTTTGAGTTTACGGCTACCCTTGTAATTTTAAACTCAATCCAGAAGACAAGGGAACTCCAGGATCAAGTAATGGGAGAAATTTTGCCTTTCTGGAGGACTTTTGGGTGAAACCAACCTGAATTTGCGTTACATGGAAAGGAAAACCTTCCACGGTTAGACTCTAACCCGTGATCCGTCTACCGCTGAGGATATTTTACGTCAGCACTGTGGTCAGTGCGAGCCGGGTGTTGAATTTGTATCGGACAGCCATTGCTGAGATTCGAAACCAGCTCACATCATTGAAAGGCGAACGCTCTATCCCCTGAGCCACCACGACTACTATGATGCTTCTGCCATATGTATTCCATGCTTGCTCTGAGCCGGTTGGCAATGCTCAGCAACTTTAAACAAGGTTTAAACCTGGGTCGCCTCGATTAAAAAGTTATAACAAAGGTGACATGGCGACGTAAATCTTGAGCACAGTCCTCAAATTTCATTAATTGTCCTGAATGACTTTCAAACTCATTGAGGACTGAAAATGTCCCCAAATTTTAAAATGCGAACTCAAATTTCTCCGAAAACATACAATCTTTTTTTAATTTGCAGTAAAATATCAAAAAACAGAGCGAATAGTTTTTGTTTTGTTTTTTCGAACAAGATAGTTTTGTCTTGCAGAAAATACACACGAAAAGCGAAAACACACCATGCTGAAACTAACAGATGAAAACGCCTTGCTTGTTTGGAAATAAATTCAGCAAAAATAAACAAATTTTCATAACCATGATGCAACCCTTCGTTTTACTTGAATTTCAAGTGCAAAATATTATATGATATTTCAAAACTACTTGGTAATGAAATCAGATGCGACGAAGATGGTTCTGCACCTAATATTAGTTATCAATAAAAAAAAGTATTTGATGCACATATCAATTGATATTTTCCGTAATTATGTGGGTGTCCTCATATCATAAAACTTTTCGAGAACGCTCCGTTGGTTTGTCCTTAAATCATGGTTTATAAATCTGAACACCTTAGTTATAAGTCACAGAGCTACCCTGTACTCACTTGTTATATACAACAAAATTTCGTTTTCCCGCTAAATTATTTAAAAAAATGTGAAATTTCTGGGAGAACTCGAACTTTATTATTCTTAATACAAAGGTCAGGAAAGACCTAAAATAAAATTTATTTGATCTCTTTGGTCAGGAAAGACCTAAAATAAAATTTATTTGATCTCTTTACTGCGACTGCCAGTTAGAGCCTGTTCTTATTACACATACAACAGTAGGCAGCAAATAACCGAAATAAAAATTGATTTCTACGCGTAGAATAAAACGAAATAGCAAATCGATAAATAGATCAGCAAAACACTTAATGAGTAAGTCAACTCAGCAAATCTGTGGAACAACGAATTTGTGAATGATCAAATCACAAGCAAATGAACAAAACGAACTAGTAGTAAATTAAGAAAGCGAATCTGTAAGTCAATGAATCATTGAATGAGTGAATCATCAAACTGAGGAATCACTGATTCCTTGATTTACCGTTTCAGTGAGTCACTCATTTATTGACCCACCTTATCATTTGTTTGCTCATCCTCTGATTCTCTAATTCATAGATTCGTTCATTTTCTAATTCAGTAAATCGTTGATTTTTCTCACTCAACTTATTTGGTGATACATTGATTTGCTTTTCATCGATTGATTGATTCGCTTTGATACCTATTTGCAGGATTTGGTTACTTACTGCTGTGGAGTTAGAACGGATTCTAATTGAGAGTCGCAGTAAACGGCTGAAATAACTAGACTTCATAGTTAAATGTAAATTCTTTTTTAATAGCCTTGTTAATAAATTAAGAGCACTCTTTCCTAACCAGCTGGAATTTTAGGTTAATTGTTTAATTTTCTTTTCCTCTGTGTTTTTCTGCTCCTAAAAGACATTTTAGGATACTCTTATAGACAGCAAAATGTCTTTAATAAAAATAAAAAAAACTTTCAATTTAAAGGCAAACACTTGATATCTGTTAAAACTTCTACTGATTTTTCTCAAAAGCTCTAAACATTTAATTTTATAAGGATAGTAATTTGGGATAGGTAATTAAAAAATTACAGTGCTTTTATTTGTTTTTAGATTTTAAAAATAAAAAACTTTTAGTGTTGCTTAAGTTGTAGAAAACTGATTTGGTTGATGCCCAAAAATTCTTTCAATGTAATTAAACAAAACAAAGATATATTTATTTCAAATATTTAAAAATGTCTAATTCTAAATAACTTTTCTGAAATGTAAATAGCATGATTGTATTAACATAATTTTGTCAAGGAAATAAAGTTGAAATTCTATAATAGCATCCGCTTTTACCTCTTCTCTTATTAGAGGACGATCTTATACATGATATTATGAAATATATTACTGAGAAATGTGCAAATATTCACCATCAGTTTATTAGTGAAAATTAAACATAATAATAAAAATCGTTTTTAACACTTTTCCTCTCTGTTTACACTACTCTGACGGTTGAGACTATGTAGGATTCCTACTACATGTTATCAAACTAGAACCCATTGTTTCAGTTAAAAAAGCACATAAGTCTTAATGTACAAATCAAGCTTTTGTTCGTATAACTAATAATAGCGTAATATACGTTGTTGTTCATACCGATTTTGGTTAAATGAATATCTACTTGTGCAGTGATGTTGATATTGGTCCCTTGATAAGTATGAAAACATGATTGTTACTTGCTAATTATTTGATCTGTTTTGAAAGACTTAGTATTTGCTTAGCTCTAATCATCAATATTAACCACTTCTCTTTAGAGTACAGAGTACGATGATGAAATTTCCAACTTCTACTGCAAACTATTCAGTTTCTATTCGAGTATGAATAATTAATAAGATTACGCACTGTACCACTACATTATTATTAATAAGGAGAAATTTGCGTATATTATTATCTCTTGTGTGTATTATAATATTATATAATTCTCTTTAAACATTTCTAGGATCTTTCAACTATTCACTGAAAGTAGAATAATGTACTTAAATCCGAATTATGAAACAGAACACATCGGATAAAACTACGTGTAGTATTACCTCTTGTTTTGCAAATGGGAGAATAGTTTATACAAGATTCCATTTTTTAAAAAAAATTCTATGTATTATTTATCAATTGAAAGAATTGTGGAAGACAAATAAAGTGCAAAACAGATTTACAAATATAAGACTAGAGCTTTTTGGCACTTACTCTTACAAAGATTTAATTAGGTGATGTCAAAAGTTATTGATTCATCTACTTGTTCTTTAAGGAGCAAAAAAAAAATTAGTATTTTGACAATGCAAGCAGTTTAGTTGCGAATGTTTCGAAAAAGTCAAATAATCTAGCATTTACTTTGTGCAAAATTTTCTTTTCTAGTCATCAAGGTGAAGCATCTTAAATCCTTCATTTATTTGGTTCCTCATTCAAAATCATTTCATTTCTAACACAATTTTACTTATTGTAGTCCTCAAGATTAGGCTACTTGAAAATTTCTTGTTTTCCACCATTACATCCCGTCGTAGCTCCTTCATTGAAAATCAGCTAATTTCTAGTTTATTCAAATTCAGTTCCATCTCTAAGTTCAAGTATCTCTGAATCTTATATCTGTTTTGATGTTAATTCAAAATCTGCTAATTTCTAACTTCAAGATGAAGTATCAAGATGTCAGATTCAAGCAGTAACATCTCGCATCTGTTTTGCTAATCGTTTGAAATCAGTCTTGTCTTCAATCATCACGTCTAAGCCGACGTTCTTTCATTCAAAATAAGCTAATTTCTAACTCAAATCCATTAAGATGCAGCATCATGATGACGACTTCAAGAAGAAGCATCTTGAACTGCTTTGTTTCTGAATCAAAGTTAGCAATTTTCAACCACAATTTCTCTTTCAAGATTACGAGATGACAAATCATCAAAATAACAGATTCAAGACGAAGAATCCTGACCATTTTTACTGTTCATTCAAATTATGTCAATTTCTAATTCAATTCCATCTTCAAAATGAAGTTACAAGATGACAACTTCAAGAAATATCTTGAAACTTTTTTTTTTTTTGGTTTATTCAAAATTTGCCAAATTTTATTAAATCGCTTTCTTTAAGATGAAGCATCAAGATGACATAGTCAAGAGGAAACATCGTAACTATGTTTTGATGTTCATTCAAAGCCTGTCAATTTCTAACTCAATTCCATGTCCAAGCATCAAGATGACAGACTCAAGAGGAAACATCTAAAATCTGTTTTGTTTATCGCTTAAAAACTGTCAATTTCTGACACGATTTCATTTATGAGATGAAATATCAAGATGAAAGATTCAAGTAGAAGCATCCTGAATCTCCGATGTTTGTTGATCGTTTAAAAACTGTCAATTTCAGACACGATTTCATTTACGAGATGAAACATCAATATGACAGATTCAAGTAGAAGAATCTTGAATCTGCTTTGTTGATCGTTTAAAAACTGCCAATTTCTGACACGATTTCATTTACGAGATGAAACATCAATATGACAGATTCAAGGAGAAGCATCTAGAATCTGTTAAGTGGTTCAATCAAAATTAATAAACTTCTAAGTAGGATTTAATATTTGAAGTCTATAGATTTTTGCCAGCAGCAACCAAAAAAGACTACCAATCATACATACAATGAGTCCCGCCCATTCAGCTGAAGGCGGCCAACCTACTGTAAAAATTCTTGCCTTCATATAATCTTCTGGCAAATTTTTATCAAGGATAGTACTTGTGTAGAAACCATCTGCTGGCTTTGCTCTTTTGAAATGCATGAATGCCAAGTTGAAAGTTCCAAATACACCTATAAAAGAAAAGAAAAATTACGTATGAGATATTTTAAAGAAAATAAAAACCAATTCATTTCACAATCAGAATTTTCATCAATTTTAGTTGCGTTTTTTGCCAATTCAACAATTTTGTTTCTGTATTCCTTTTATTTTTTTACCTTAATTTTTTTAAGTATTATTTTTATATTTTTATCTTAATTAAGTCTCTAAGTAAGATATATCAGGTAATAAAATTGATTTTGGTCTATTTTACTCCACTTTCCTCACTAGCAATCTCTTAGATTTCGTTAACGTTTTTCTTTATTTCCCGTTTAAGTACTATTTTGCAATATTTGATGTGCATTTTTTTACTACACTTTTGCCAAGGATTCACAATATATCATTTAAGGCAGTGGCATCTGAGCTCCTATATTCTGGAAAAAGTGTCCATATGTTTTAGTTTTCTAACTTAATACATACTGTATTAAATTAGTAGAAACATCCACGACAGCTCAGGATATAGAACGTTCGCCTTCCAATGAAGTGGACCGGGTTCGGATCCCAGCGATGAGTGGTCGATAAGAATCCGCATCCGGCTTGCACCGACCACAGAGCTGACGTTAAATATCCTCATTGGTAGATGGATCATGGGTTGGAATCCCTTTGCAGTCAGGCTAACCGTTGGAGGTTCTCGTGGTCTTCCTCTCCATGTAACGCAAACGCAGGTTAGTTCCATCAAAAAAGCAAATTTCTCCCAACACGCTCTATCCAGGAGCTCCCTTGTCTTCTAGATTGGGTTCAAAATTACAAGGCTATGGAGTTGAACAATAGTAGTCGTAAACCCGAAAATTGGGTCGCCTGTTCAACGACGGTTATAAAATTAAAAAAAAAACATCTTATCTAAGCATAAATGCATTAGTCTATCACACATCTTATGCCTATTCCGACTACCATATCTGGAAAGACTACCATAGATCTGGGAAGACTATCATATTTTCCAGATCTATTTCACAAAATGTGAGTGACGAGACAGCAGAATAGATTTAGAAATTATGAGGCCACAGAGCTTATTTTTTTCGACTCATATGAAACAGGCAATAATAATGTGCATTCATATTCCTCTTAATTTGTCCAAAATGTATTTAAGTAAAACTTATCAAGATTTCAGCCCATACAAAACTTGTTGGTATCTAAAATTGAATAAAAATTTAACAATACTTTCCTTATTATAGGCTGACTTATCTGAAATAAAACCTCTTGAAACGCAGCGTCCCTGTAGCAGAAATTTTGATTCCGAAACTTACTCAATTACAATTTGTTTCAAACAAAATTTGTTTGTCAATCTGCAGATATATAAGCGAACGAAAAGTGATGATTTTTAAAATTTCCGAATTAGTGAACTGCAATTTTGAAAAATAAAAACTTTAGAAGATAAGAAAAAATAAGTAATAAATTCTAAATTTCCGAAAACTCAGTGGTGTTCTTAGGGTCTCAAATTCCATTTTGAACTTAAATTCCATTCAGACAAAAGTCTACAAAAAATTTTAATAAAAAAAGTTTTAAAAACATTTTGTTTCGTGTAGAATTTTTCCGAGCTAATTATGCCTAACTTAATGATTTTTGAATTTTTCCGAGATGATTAAGCCTAACTTTTAGTTAGTCTCTGATTATGTTAGGGTTGCAGACAAAATTCGAAATTATGAAAATTGTGCCACAGATTGACCCTGTAAATTTTGCTACAGGGCCCCGCGTCCAATATATGGAGCAATAATGACTGAAATTTTATAAATTAAAATAATCATTTAAGATTTTTTTTCTATTTGTATGCCTTTACAAAGCGATTATCTATGTAAAAGTAAAATGGGATCTACTCTCCTTGGTCGTTTTTTTTTCTGTTTGTATGCTTTTACAAAGCAATTATTTATGTAAAAATATAATTGGATCTAATCTCGTTGGTCGTTTTTTTTTCTGTTTGTATGCTTTTACAAAGCGATTATCCATGTAAAAATATAATTGGATCTAATCTCGTTGGTCGTTTTTTTTTCTGTTTCTATGCTTTTATAAAGCGATTATCTATGTAAAAGTATAATTGGATCTAATCTCGTTGGTCGTTTTTTTTCTTTCTGTTTGTATGCTTTTACAAAGCGATTATCTATGCAAAACTATATTGGATCTACTCTTATTAGTCGATTTTTTTTATCTGTTTGTTTTCTTTTACAAAACAATTACCTATGTAAGAATATAATTATATCTACTCTAGTTGGTCGATTGTTGTTTTCAGTTTGTATGCCTTTACAAAGCAATTATTTATATAAAACTATAGTTGGATCTACTTTCGTTTGTCAAAGTTTTTTTTTAATTACAATGAAAAATTGTGAGAAGAGCAAAATAAATTCGATTTAAATAACTTTTTATGGAAAGTTTTATGGCATGTTAACATTTTATTATTTGGGTTTCAGAGGATTTTGTTGTTTTATGACCAAAATACGCTATAAAAAAACTAAAATATGCGAAAAATACAAAAAAAATATAACATTTATTATTTTTTATTCAATAACTGAAATATTTCAAAACATTGAATAAAATTTAATTCATTGAATTTTTTAATTATATTGGATTTTAAGATAATTTAATTATATTGAATTTTCAAATAATAAAAAAATACGAATGTTTTTTTTATTTCGTAATGAGTCGAATAATTAGATTCAGAGAGAAACTGATGATTTAAGCAATCTAGGAAAAATAGGTTAAGAATATCACAACTTTGAATGACAAAATCAACTTCAAACGTTATTAGCATAATGTTACAATTACTCTAAAGTCATAAGTGAGAATAGAATTACATTGTTAACGCGGAGAGAGATGCAAATGAAGACATTTTGGTATTATCTCAAAAACGAAATGGCTCCAGACAGAAGGTATCTGGTAATCTTAGGGGAAACATTAAAGATATCTAGCCATTACCAAGCGACATAAACCCAGAAAGCACGGAGCAGCATAATTCTGTGAGACAACAAATAATTAATAAAGGTTAAAGTGTTGTAGAGAGCCTGGTATAATGACGAGATTTATGTTTAATGAAAATCCTCTGGGGTAAACATAAAGGAAGATACTGAAGTAAATCTCGAATTTCATAGTCGGATCTGTGGTTTAGTCAGTCATTTTGATAACTTATGCAAGAAACTGTATATACATTTTCCTGATTAAAGGAGATGTTTCTAAAATAATTATCTGTTGTTCAACCCTTTATAAACGACGTGGTAGTTATACTAACCACCAACAACAATATTTTTTAAATGTCTGTGGGGAACTTATGATTTTTGCATCCATCTGCTGATAGTTTGGGAAAATACAGAGAAAAATACCAATGAAAGGCTTTATTAACATGAACGCAATTAACAGTAAAGGTTAGCATGGGGCCATCCCTCTGAAGCAATTATCTTTTGTGCGTCATGCGTTCGTTTCATCATTTTTCATAGAGTTCATTTGCAGTTGGATGTTGTTGTTGTAGTTGTTAATTTACGTCGCACTAGAGCTGCACAATGGGCTATTGGCGACGGTCTGGGAAACATCCCGGAGGATGATCCGAAGACATGCCATCACAATTTTGATCCTCTGCGGAGGGGATGGCACCCCCGCTTCGGTAGCCCGACGACCTGCGCGCGAAGTCGAGCACTTTACGGTAGCACAGTTTAACGAGGACCAATACCGCACACCCTCGGTCCCTACGCAGACTGATCCAAGTGGTCACCCACCCGCACACTGACCGTAGCCAGTGATGCTTGACTTCGGTGATCTGCTGGGAACCGTGTCTTAACGATCAGTCCACTGCGGGACCATTTGCAGTTGGAAGAAAATAGATTTTTAAATTCTGTTATTTATAAACGGAGAAGTTCAAGATTATAGCCAATTCTTTACAATAAGTAAAATATTTAAAAAAAATCCCCTCATCTTCTCCCAAGAAAGAGAATAATGTCTTAATTAAAATAATCGCCAGAGGTTGAACTACATCACTTAACTAATACCGTTCAAGAAATTGACGCAATGTTTTGGTTGTTAATGGCGACTAGTTGTTTGCACTATTTTACTTTGAATTGAAACGTATTCCAATTTTTTTTTAACGGCAGGCACTGAACTTTCGCTTTTTACCTCCGAAGCCGCCGGAAGTGTTGCTCATTTAACGTTACCCGGTAGGCACCGGGTAACGGAGGCGAGCAACATTACCCACGCCACAGTTACCCGTTTATAATATGGGCCACATTCACACATCAGAGAACAACACACAGAGAGAAACATCCATGCCCTGAGCGGGATTCGAGCCCGCAACCATTGGCTTCACAGTCAGTCACGCTGATCGCTCGGCCACCTGGCCGGCAATATTCCAAATTGTTGCTCTTAGTAACTGACTGTATACATTTCATGGTAATATAAATTTCTCCATATATTTCTTTCACTGCTCCAAAAATTGTCAGAAACATATGATCATTAAAACATTTTCAGGAGGCAGGTAAGTGAGGGGATCGACGTCAGCTCAGCTTAGACATCTTCATAGTTTTGTTATCTTAAGTCAGCGCATTCTATATGATATTGAAATTAGAGCAAAATTTATATTTAAAGAAAATTATATTTTCTTATAAATAAAAAGTAATCTGTAATTTTTTTTAAAGTGAAAAGGTACTTATACTACATTATTGGTGCTCGTAAATATTTTCAAAAACCGAGAATTATTTAGTAATAATATTTACCCTTTCAGGATCGCGATGACATATACATGACATGTTTCTACCTTCACGACTCACAAATGTGAAACGAGCCTTTCTGACTCTAGCGGCTCAAGATTAAACTGACGTGATCTAAATACAGTGCTCTCGTACCCACATCAGGTATATAGTACTCTTTAGTATATTTAGTACCTGGGGAGCCACCTCTTTCTTCATTTGTAGGCGCTGAAGGGGTTAAAGATTTTCATTTAGGTCAAAAAATCTTATAAATATTGCAATTGTTTTTATATATTTATATTTGTTCATTTAAAAGCCCAGTCAATTATTTTCAACAAGATTGCACACATGGTATTAACATTGAAGGATTACTACGAGTATATAGTACTCTACTGTACTCTGTAATATTATAGTTATTTTTTTTCTCACAAATTTCAAGTTTACAATTAATTTTGAAAGGGCCTATTATTTTTAAATTTTATTAATTATTTTTAAAGAGTTCATGTACAGTGCTCCACAAAAAAACTTATTACTCTTGAATAACTTTTGATCGAATCTTCACGTTCTAGGGATCACTTTTAATAGTTTGAGGGGACAATATTTTAAGTTATTGATTGATTGAACGTAGAGTTTTATGGCACAAGATTCAAAGGAGGATATGCTGAGCCAAACAATTTGTTGAGTCAGATCTAACGGTAAATTGCACATTACAATTTCATCGTCACAAAATAAATGAAACTATTAAAATTGTTAATCACAAGACAACGGATTTGGATTTTTGACCCTCAAAATATAGGGAATTACAGACAACTGGGAAATATAATCCCAATAGTTTGATCAGGAGAGCTGTCCAAAGTTTGGTCCTCTTAAAGTTAATTTTACTTTTCGTGTAATTCACCATATCTCGAGAACTTTTAAAGCAAATTTAAAAGTCTTGCACACAGTTATAATATCCGTTTTTCCAAAGATAAATCAATGCAAAAAATAACTTTTAGTAAATATTTGTCATTTTTTATTAGATTATTTAATAACGGTCTAAGAAACTGAATTACAAGGTATACAATTTTTTACATAATTTTAAAGATTTTAATTTTAAAAGGCAAAATACAATGGGACAAATAGTTCCAGCGAGAAATTCTTCAAGCGATTTACCATAAATTGAAAATAGAGTTATAATTTTATTGAATATTTCTCAGCTAAAAATTACCTCTGTCATACTCTGTGGCGACAACAACAGTAATTTTTTTTCAACTTGCTGAGAAAAAAAAAATGCACAAAATATTTTTTTCATCTACATTACGTTTCTTTTGATTTAGACAAAAAAAAAAAAAGTCCACATTTTTCTTTTCGGGCTAAGCCTAATTCAAGCAATATCTATATATAAGAGTCAACTATGCCTAAACATTGCTGAGCAATCTATTTATGTATAGAATACATATTACCTGCTAAAATATACATCACTCCATTGACCATGATGGTGCTTATCTGTTTTTTATACAATCCTAAAAGCCCCAAAGGAGTTGAAAAGGCAAGCAATATTAAAGAAACCATAGCACAGGACATAGCTAAATTACGCATACCTAAAATTAAAAAAAAGACAGATTCAATTAATAAATCCATATTATGGACCAGTGTTTCCCAATTTAATTGAACCTAAATGATCGATTTTCTTTGGACTTCATAAATAAAGTACATAAAGACAACAAGGAACGTATTAACTGATAAAAAAAACTACTTCATTTTGAAAATATTTAATTTTTTATCGTTTTAACATTAACAATCTTAAATTAGGTTTCATATCCGACAGTTGAATTCGATCTCTAGTCTAGCTATATGAATTTGTTTTTGGTGTATATAATTATAAAAACACTTCCAGGCTTGTATATACATACTAAATGAAAACTAAATGTAAACTATACAAACGTTGAAAATGGTTACTAGGGAAGCATATTTTTTCAATAACGAATTTAGTTATTTTAATTTGATTTGAAAAGAGTGATAGAAAATACTAGTGCCTTTTTAATTAAATGCATGTCTTTTTCATAATTGATTTAATACAATGTTATTTTTTTTGTTTTTTCTAACTCAATGTTTCCCAAACTTATGACTTTTGTGTACCCTTTTTAAATTTTTTGTAACGCTGTGTACCACTTATAAAATAATGAATGTATTTTTTACCATAAAAAAATTGCACAAAAGTTAAAAATGAAAACTGGCTGTTGATGCCACTTATTATTAACTGTTAACTCTGCAAAAAGTAGTCAATATAAAAATACGTAATCGTAAATTGTCATGGCTTGCTTTGTTTTTAAATAAAATTTTTTGAAATTTTTGTTTGTTACAAGATATTTTGCATAAGAACGCGTACCCTGGTGAAACGGTTCCCGTACCCCTGGGGGTACGCGTACCGCACTTTGGGAAACACTGTTCTAACTAGTGATTCCGCAACTTTAGATATTTTCTGCTTGCTTTAATATTAATCTGAGAACTAAAGCGTATACTTTTTTACTTCTTTTTTGATAAAGGGCTTTAAAAATATATATTTAGACGGGGTAAACTCAGAACACTATTATAAGTGTAATTTATTACATATTAATAGAGAATACTGTACCGAGCACAGGGGTTCATTTTGATTGGAGATAAATAAAACAACCCTTAAGTCTCTTAAAATGTGTTAGCAGAATCTTCCAGGCAATACTGTTATTTCTAGCACTGAATTACAGCTCAAATAACAGCTTATCACATCAAAACGCAGGCTTTGAAACCACAGATGACTCAATGAACTCACAGATCAGAACACTTGCAGACACAAGCAGACTAATACTCTCTACTTTGTGTGGCACTTTCCCATTTTTATAGGCTTGGCGTCGAAACCCTGTAACTTTTGACACGGTTCCAGACGATTCTCGCATATTGTTCTTGCAAATTGTCCTATATTCTCGCACATTGTCCTTATTCTCACATGTTGTAAATATTGGCCCTATCGCTTCGAAACTCGAATTTTCCAGAACTATCCTTTTCTCGCTAGATTTGTTGGCAAGCATCGCCAAATAGCTAAGATTATCGCCATGTCGGCAAAAATGCCGCCAAACCGAGTTTTTCATAAGAAATACGTTACGCTTTATTTTCTCTCTATCTCGACGTTAAAATTACGCGACTTTCTTGCAAATTTTCTAATCAAACCGCTCGCTTAGATATTTAGCCTCATATCAAATGAATATTCACAAAACTTTACATAAATTTACAAATTCGTAACAATACTTACGATCCAACCATGTATCCCTGGATGTAATATCGTCATTGGAAAGATATGAAATACAAGTTTTTAGTACAAAACCGTCTTCTTCCATTGTGCTTTTAACAGAATCTAAACATATATAAAATGCATTCAAATACATTGTTATCAATTTTTTTTATTTAATTAAAATATGATACATGCAACTCCAGAAAATATGAATGTTCAATAGTCATAGCTTTTCTTATATAAACTTATTTCCTGTGCAGAGGTGATTGTGAACCCAACTCAAAAATCCTGAAAATTTCTTGAGTAAAATCATTAATGACCCACTTCAAAAATTAATGTCTTTATAAATTTAAATCATTGACATTTTCCCAACATGAAATTCTAAATAAATTATATGCAGCATAATTTAAATTAATAATTATGTATAAGTTTACTTTTATCTCTAGTCGCATTTATTATTCTAGCAGAAAAATATTTACAAATGAAAGAGATGCCAAGTATAAATTCTAGTTCTAGCCTTTTTAAATATAATATAGAAGAATTTGTATACATAAATGTGATCGATGATTTCTTGAAACTTCTGGCTGTTGGATTTTCAAAAATTTTCGGATCGCAATTTGCGAAAAATCTGGATTTTTTCAAGAGCACAATCATTTCTGGGTATATATATTTAATTGACGAATGATTGTGGAGGGTAGTATTAAATATTAAAACCAGTTTGACTGCATGGGGAAACTTTAAGCGTTTTTAATAGTTGCTTTAGGAATCTCTTCTCAGTTTTTTCTAAAAATCATACAGTTTTATAATTTTGTTACAAGTTTTAATAATTTTGATCTCGTCTCTCCCTTTAATGGCTCATCAGGTTTCAATATTTTTTTCTGGCTTAAATATCAAGTTAAACATCCAATGTGTTAATTTTTTGTCAAACATAATAGAAATATGTATTAAGGATTATTATAGGTTAATCGAAATATATATTATTTTTCATATTTCTCTTAATCTAAGAAAATATAATTTTTTTACACCCTAAGAGCTTATTTATCCAACAATAATTCCGTGTAAAAAAATCCTCTTTATATTTTCTAAGGGGGGGGGGGATTTTCATGGTATTTATACAAATACCTGATCTTGCTTAATTCTGGCATGCAAATTTCAAATCTAAAATTAATTTAGCTCTTAAAGCTACAGATTTTTCTTAAATGACATTTTCAGTCTATTTTTTATTGAAATGTACTAGTTTAAAAACGTTATGTATAACAGGGGTTCGTGTAAATGTAGTGACAGACTATTATGGGAGTCAGAGCACATTATCAAGACTAAAATTGCATAGGAACCTATGCTCAGAAATGTCGAGCAAAGGATCGTTTCAGGAGATTGCTTTCTTATTATAACTCGTTCAGAAGCACAGTAAGAAACAGTTCTCATTACGGATGCGCCCCTAGCTGCGTATGATCACACTTCCGTGTATGAGCTCCAATACAGTTTCAAACTTGATATAATTGCACTAACTTCCTTAGAAGTTTGTCGCACTATATATAAAAAACCCTATTATATATAACGTTTTTAAACTTGTACACTTCGATAAAAAATAGACTAAAATGTAATTTGAATAAATAAAACTGAAGCTTGGAGAAAGAAACAGATTGCAGATTTGAAGTCAGTGACGCGAAAATATCCGAGTTTCATTAAAAAATCTGATGCAACAGAAATTGTTTTCCCTCAGTAACCTATTAACTTTTATTATTTAATTCAATATTGGTTAAAAAAGATTTGAGTCGTAAGGTATAAAAATTGTTATCCCATTATGAACTATGTAACTTTAATTTACTCACATTTAATTATTAATTATTTACATTTAATTAAGTGCATACTCAAATGTATCAAGTTTTTTATGTAAATCGGCAGCTTCGGATCTTGTTAATGGTTTTTCATATTTGTTTGAGGAAAAATAATGTAAACAATGTTTAATTTCTTCATAATTTTCCTTTAAGGATTTCACAGCATTGGAACGAGCAGACCATCTGGTGTCACAAACGGGTTTAATAGTCAAGTGTTTGCTCTTACAAAATTTTTGTAATGCATTCCACCTATGTGCAGAATTTGAAAAAAATACCTGAACTAAATTGAAAAAAAATTGTCATCTCCATGAAACTTTCGGTAAAAGCGTTTCCAATTAAATTTAATGAATGATTTGCGCATGGTATAAAATGGACAGAAAAAATATGTTGTTTTATTCTGGATTGGAGTCCCTTATATTTACCTGGCATATTAAACGCATTATCATAACTCTGTCCCAGACAGTTAGTGATGTCTAAATCCATATTATTTAAAAATTCTAAAATAACTTTCTCCAAGTATTCACCAGTATGAGAAAATATAGGTAGAAATCCCAAAAATCTTTTTTTTTATACCACTTGGAAGAACATAGCGAATAATGACGGTCAGCTGATCTACGTGAGATATATCAGGTGTTGAATCAATAATTAGAGAGTAAAATTTGGCTTCTTTTATTTCGTTCGCTATCGTGAGTTGTAAATCTTTCGATATAATAGAAATAAATTCATCACATATTGTAGACGACAAATAGTTTATAATTCCGGTGCCGCAGTTTGCATATTTTTTCATGTGTTCCCGCATAAATGGATCGAAATCGGATAAATATTCCAAAGCACCTTTCTCTTTTCGAGTTTAATTAATTCTAATGGGTTATGAAATACACCGAAGATTTATCTGATTTTCTTAAAATAAAGAAAACTACTCCAATAACCAGGGGCGGATCTACATAAGGGCTCTTTGGGCTGCAGCCCAGGGCCCCGTGGAAACAAAGGGCCCCAGTCCCCACTGAAAACAATAGGTGATATTTTGAATTAAAAAAAATATCTAATATTAAAAAAAATTATATTATGAGGTTGGCAACGCTGAAATCAATCAACCTATGCATGTGCGCGTCTATCGAACGGAACGGGGAATTACCCGTCGCTTGTTTTTGGTCAGTGTATTTTTTCGCGTCTATTACGGGGGACTTAACGCCCGGCGTAATTTAGTTTTTTTTCACCGCACTTCTGTTCTCGTCGTCAATGATAAACTTGTTTAGTTTACTAATAACTGTCTTGAGTACCAGAAACTCTCTGATCCCACTGAAAACTATATTGGTGTTCAGCAAGAGGACGGTAATACCGAGGCGGAAAGAAATTTAGAGAATATTAAGTTTGAGCTTGAGAAATATGTTGACGTTGGCTTGTGGTCAGAATTGCTAAATAATGATTTTATTAATGACATACTCTCACATGAAATGACTGACTTTCAAAATAAATATCCAACATTTTCAAATAGGTATTTCATTAAGAAAATGAAAAATGGTCAATCACTGGAAAAATTTTGATTATGTTATTCAACCACGGTTGGTACTGTTTATTGTTTGACTTGCAAACTTTTTTCTAAAATCCTTTCTCAATACATAACCAGATTTTCTGATAGGAAACACATAGGAGCTTGTTTAGAAAATCATGAAAATTCTAATGAATATAAGAAATCAATGTTAGTGTGGTTGACACGTGAAGGCAACAAGTTAATTGTATCATTAAAAGACTTCGTGAGCAACATAAGGCACCAATCAGATATGAAGCTATAGGATTACGAAGAGAAAGCTAAAAAATTAAGTACTAGTGTGGGAATAGACTGCAATGACATAAACAAGAGACGCATTACTCCAAAATTTTCAGATAAGTCTACAGATAAATTCTCAGTACACGGCGCAGAAGAATTAAAAAGGGACAAGCTAAACGTTGCGTTGGATAAGCTGATTATGGATTTAAACAAAAGGAGCCAAGTCTATGAGATGTATAGCAAGAAATTCCAATTTTTAATGGATTTGCAAGACAAAAATATGGAAAACATAGATCTGGAAAGTGTACGTAATACTCGTATTGTTGATTATTATCCAGATGACGTAGACGATCATTTAGTGAATGAGTGCATTCAGTTAAAATCTTATTTACTTCAGTCTAAGTTAGAGTCTTACACCTCTTGCAGTGAAATTTTTATGCTAATTTATGAAAAGAAATTTGAGGACGTTTTCCCAAATTGCTAGACTATCTTAAGGATTTTTTTTAAGTTTGCCAATCACTAGCTGTGAAGCTGAGCACTCTTTCTCCAGGATGTCATATATAGAAAACAAATATAGGACAACAATGTCGAACCATCGACTAAATCATTTATCAGTTCTTTCCATAAATTGTGATTTAACGAAGAACTTACAATGTGATGAGCAAATAAAGAATTTGCAGCACAAAAATGCAGAAAGGTTGCTTTATAATTTATATAACATAACTACACATAACCTGTCAATTTCTTTTGCAATAATGCTGTACAGTTGCTGCTTGTATAGACAAATAAAAATAAATAAAATTATTTTATTGTCTTATTTTTTTCTATACACTTATCTACATCACTATAGAAAACAGTTTTTTGACAAAATGGCTATTAGGGCCTCAAAGTAGTTTCAGCCCAGGGCCCCACAAATTCACGATCCGCCCATGCCAATAACCAGTCCAAGGGGTTAAGTGACAACAGAAGAATATATTATCACATTAAATATACAGGACAAAAGGCTGCTACAACTACAACTACATTCCAAAGGCGTAGATGTCTCTTTTTAACAAGAATCTTTAACAGTTAACAATGCCATCTAGTGGTGGTTCATCAAGTATTTTTCTACAGCACCTATATAACTAGCATTATTTTCACTAAAAAAACACTTTATTTTTATCACGAAACGCTAAAGAGTATGAAGAAATAAATTTGATTGTCGCTACCACACGTTTAAGTACTTCCCTCCAATATTTTTTTCACTTATAATTTGTTTTTCCAATTCAGTGTCAATGTGACCGGTAATTTTAGATCTTGTTATAATATTTAAAGTAGAGTTAATGTGGTCACAGGAGTTTTCATGCTCTGACAATTGTTTTTGAACATTTTTCCTATCATTCGTCCAAGCATCGCGCTGTTTGCTTGGAAAGTAATTTACAGACGTAACAGTACAATAAGTTGTTGGTTTCAGTATAAGCCAACCAATCTCTTTTAACTTTTTCCCCACTATTAATTGCTCTGAAGAAGGAGGCAAT